ACAACTAAAACTAGAACTAACACTAGACAAAATATACATGAATAAATAATTAATGCATAATTAATTAACATTAATAGACTAGTTATCAACTAAGTTGTTCCCAGCCGTTTTCTCTATTCGTATTGTTCATATGTCGATGAATCTCTGTTGACTTTATTGTCATCCTTTGGAAATAATGCTCAGCTGTTACTAGCACCTTGGCCTTATCGAAATCTATGGTTTGTCTCTTTTTGTAACAACGCTCTGCGACTCCAACATCCCTCACATGTTCCTTGATGCGGCACTCGATTTTACGTCCAGTTCCACCAAAGTAGTTCTTCCCACAACTGTCTGATAGCCGATAGACTTCCACTCCCTTCAATAGGATTAGTTTGTCCTATAAAAAGAGCCTACAGAATGTTGCTGACTGTACCTTGCAATCTGCTCCGTCACACCTGAAACCTAAGGGAGGCTGATGAAACCAGCCGGTGGAGTACATACAGAACTGCATCTCCAACGTTTCTGCAAATCGGAAATGGTATGTGGGCATTGTGCGGAAAAGGACCACGAGTTTAAGAACTGTGGGAATAGGGAGAGGCAGTATGTGCAAACTGCAAAGGGGAAGGATGACAGACACGAAACGAGGGATAGAAACTGTGGGGAATACCAGATTGCGGCGGAGTTGGCGAAGAGAAGTATTAATTATGAGGACATGAGGAGAGGGCAGAAAGAGACTTTATCAAAAACTAGACGGGGGAGGGGAAAAGCCAGAGAAGACGAGGAGTTGAAAATGGTGTTCTGGAATGTAGCGGGGATTACGAATAAGGAAGGGGCAGTTCTGGGAATATTTGAACGGATTTATATGGTGGAGACCTGGGTTGATGAAGTAGGGTGAACAAAGATTGAGGGAAAGTTGCCAGAAGGGTATAGATGGGATTGCGTGTTTGCAGAGAGGAGAAGTAAGAGAGGAGAAGTAAGAGAGGAGGAGCGTGCGGAGGTATTATAACAGGAATAGCGAGAGGAATTACGGAGGAGAGTAAGACGGAGAGGAGATGGAGGCAAAAGGGAATAGTAAAAAGGCAAATCAAGTTAAAGGGAGAGAAGGTGCTGATAGTCACAGTATATAGTAAGACAATGAAAGAAACAATGAGGCAATGGGAAGATATGACAGAGGAGCACAGGGGGGGATACCTGATTATTGGAGGGGACTTTAATGCAAGAATAGGGGAAGAAGGGGGAAAAGGAGAAATAGAATGGATTCTGAATGGAGATAATAATAATAATAATGTTTATTAATCGGATAATATATAATATATGTACAAATAGAAAAAATTATAAAAAGGCTCCGATTAGAGAGGGTCATGTCAGGTCGACCAAGTGACCAAGGCCCCTTTGTCGCACTGTTGGGATGCAGATGCTGAGGTGGGTAGAAGATAGGGGATGGGAGATACTGAATGGGAAATATGGAGGAAGGAGATGAAGGGGAATATACCTATACGGGTGCAAAGGGGGCGTCCGAGGATAGAAACATTTAAGGTTGGGGCGTTGGTAGAGTCAGATCACCAGCCTCTAGAAGTATGCATAAAAGGATCGGAGGGAAGAAGCAACAGAAAGATAATGGAATATGGTGGAAAATACATTAGGGTAGATTAGAGAACATAATAGGGGACAATTGGCAAGCTGGAGTCAGAGGGTGGAGGGGGCCGATGGGTTGAATGAACTAATTGAGGTGGTTAGGGAGGCGACGTTGAAGAAAGAGAGTGGGCGACAGGGGATTAGACTGGGAAGAAACGAATGGTGGGATAGGGAATGCAGAGAGGCCAAGAGAGAAGCCAGAAGGAAATTGAGACAGTGGCAGAGAGCTGAGGTAGAGATAGAGAGATATAGAGGCCAGGGGAAAATACAAAGAAGAATGCAAGAAAAAGAAGAGAGAGCTGAAGGAAACGGAGGCTGAGAAGATTAAAGAGTTGAAAGAGGAAAATGAGGTATGGAGATATTTAAAGAGGATGAGGAAGGGAAGAGAAGAAGTCAGCAGATATATACAAATGACTGAATGGAAAACCTACTTCATGGGCTTGTTAGGAGGGGTGGAAGAGAGAAGACAGGGAAAGGGAGAGCGAGGGTACAAGGAAGAGAAAAGATAACACTGGAAGAAATGGAGGCAGTGTCGAGGGCACTGAAGAGGGGAAGGGCGCCAGGAGAGGATAAGATCCAGAAAGACGCATGGTTGGAGGCGACGGGGACGGTGATGAAGAAATTATGGAAGGTAATGAGCGACGTATGGATGAGGGAGAGGTTTCCAGACAGGTGGAGGATGGGGATAATATGCCCACTGTATAAAAAGGGGAGTAAAAGGGTGGTGAGCAATTATAGAGGGATCACCCTGTTGGACACAACTCTCAAAATTTATGCAATGATACTGCTGGGGAGATTGGAAGAAGAAATGGAGAAACTGTTGCCGGATGGGCAGGCGAGATTCAGGAAAGGAAGAAGGGCAATTGACAATGTATACATTCTGAAACACTTGGTAGATAGGGAGTTGAACAAGAAGGGGGGAAAACTGTATGGACTGTTTATTGACCTGAAGGCTGCATTCGATAACAGGAATAGAGAGAAGTTGTGGGAAGAAATGAGGAGGAGAGGTATCACAGAACAACTGATAGGGAGGGTGAAGGAGATGTACAGGGAGACGATGGCGAAGGTTAAAGTGGGGGAAGAGTTAAGTGAGGTATTCTGGACGACAAAGGGATTGAGACAGGGGTGTCCGCTTAGTCCCACACTATTTGCACTATATACGACGGACTTGGAAAAGAGACTTGCGAAGGGGCAAATGGGTGAGGTGGTGATAGAAGGAACAAAGGTGCACGCGGACGTTTTGGTGGTTGTGGCTAGAGAGGCGGTGGAGATGAAAGAGATCATGAGGTCCCTGGATAGATATTTTAAGGTGAAGGGGTTGGAGGTAAACGTCGAGAAAACAAAGATAATGAAGTTCTGCAAAGGGGAGAGAAGAAGGAAGGAGGAATAGAGGTGGCAGGAAAGAGAGATAGAGCACAGAGTGAAAGAGTACACGTACCTGGGATATGGTTTCGCGGAAAGTAATAAGGTCGGGGCGCACGTGAGGGCGATGGCAAAAAGAGCGACAGGGTGATGGGACAGGTTTGGGGATGGGGAGAAAGGACTTTCGGGAGGGACGTCGGAAAAAGAAAGGCCATCAAACATAGGATTGGTAAGGAGCACAATGATGTACAGCGCAGAAGTATGGGGATGGAGAGAACAAGGTTTGCTAGAGGATATACAAACACGATATTGGAGATGGATACGAGGGTTGGCAAGGGAGACTCCAGGGTATGTAGTGAGAGAGGAGGTTAAGGTGGATGCAGTAAGGGTGGGGGCGAGGAGAAAAGCAGTGAAGTATGAGGAAATGATAGAAGCAAGACTGCATTGCAGGATCCTGGGAGAGTGCTGTAAGGAAATTAAAGAGAGGAGGCTGATCTATGGGCAAAGAGACAGGGAAGAATATTATAGAAGAGTGGGATACTCACTAACTGGGATCGCAAACAGAAGATCGGAAAGAGGTTAAATGTGGAGAGAACTGAGAGATAGGGACATGGATATACAGAGGCAGGAAACAAGGTCACAGATAGGAGAAGGGAGATACAATGAAAGGTATGGGGAGATAGTGACATGAAGGGAAAAGATTGGTGGCCAGATTCCACTGTGGCAATGAGGAGAGGGGGAATAGCTATTGGGCGGACGATGTGGTGTAGGCTGTGTGGAGAGGATTGGGAGACGCTGGAACACATGCTGAGAGGGTGTAGTGAACTAAGGGAGAAGGCAATGGACAGGAAGCAGATTTTGGGAGAGCGGGGCGAGGGTAAAAGATGGATGAGGGAGGTGATGGGTGCGAGGAGGCGAAGGTATGGAAAGGGGGGAGGATCTGGAGGTATAGATATATATATATATATAATGTATAGAATGTATTAAAGGGAAAATTGTAAATATTGAAAACAATAAAACGTTGTTTAGTGACTCGCTAGATCACTTTTCTTGCTTCAAATTCTTTCGTCGCATATCCTGGAACAAGGCTCAGAACACAGGCCTCTTCTGTTATGCATGGCGATGAGACATGCCCCCATCTATCTTCCTAATGACCAAAATATCCAGGAAAGCGAACTGTTTTGCAGCATCCGTTTCCATGGTAAATTTGATTATGGGTTATTATGAGTTGAGGTGGTCTAGGAATTCCTCTTCGGAGTTACTGCGTAATTAAATGCTGCAGCGACCACTGTACTGTTACTGTTAATGGGACGCTTAATCAGTTGATTAGTGCGATTAGTGCGAGGTGGAATCGTAGTAACCTCTTACTTATTTGGTCCATATCCTTGAAGATCTTGTGAATTCTTTCTCGTATTAGTTCTTACGATCCCACGGACCGCAGCAGAGTCAATATGGTAACACTATATGGTATAGTCAGCAAAATTCGAAACGCTTTTCCGATAGCTAATCCCATTAAAGGAAGCGATAGTCTATTGATTATCGTGCAGTTGTGGGAAGCACTACGTTGGCCAAACTGGATGTAACTCTAAATAATATCCAGTAGTCGGCAGTCGCAGAGCATTACCTCAAAAAGGAACACAGCACAGATTTCGATAAAATCAAGGTGCTAGCTAGAGCCGGAAATTAACATTATTTCCCAAGGATGACGATAACAGATGATAAAGATCCATCGACATAGGAACAATGTGAATAGAGAAAACAAATTGGTATTTTAGCCGAACATGGAAAATATTGTCGTCATTTTGAACTGGTTTTTGAAGAAATTTGAGACATAGCATCCGAGACATCAAACGCTTTTTCAAAAAGCGTCGGGCTTAACCCAAAAGTTTCTAGTTCTAGGTTAAATGTTAGTTCTAGTTTTAGTTCAATTAACACTGGCCGTGAAAGTTTTCGTAATTATAATGCATTATATACCCCAAATAAATATATAATAAGAGAGGATAAATAAAAATGAGATTTCTTACATTCTAAAGACCATTTATGAATTTCGTTATCAAAATCACTGGGCATATCTTCGTTTTTATCTTTTAAGTCCATCATTCTGAAAAGGTTTCATTAATAATTGATTTACAAATTCTTTAAGTATTTAAAAAACCTGTTTAAAAAATCATCTGTTACTGTTGATATAGGTTCTATGTATTTTCTTACTGTTTTTAATTGTAAAACTGGTTTTTGGACTTTAGTTCTAAATTCTCTCCATTGTTCGCCATGACTATAATTAATTTGATAAATTAATAACTAGAACACTTTTTCTAAACGTTGATGATATTGCTGATGACAATGAGTGAATTGTACCTTGAATGAATGGTACAAGAACTTTCTCATTGCGTATTAAAATACCCATTATAATTATACAACTAAACATTTTTTAGATCCAATATATTCATTTACAACCTAATCGAAGTGAAAGTAATATTTTCTTTTTAATTTATGTAATTACGTTTACAGTTACTTCCTCAAAGTTTATCTTACATTTGCAATTTAATGCCAATATTCATTTAAAAATTAAATTTAAATATCAATTAAATTAAGCAATAAGTTATATATGTAACCAATTTCAATGAATCTAATTGCTTCTGATGTAACGATTGCGATAAATAAAAATAAAAATTCGCGTCTCGTTGTCAAATTTGTAAATCTATAGATGGTAATCGAGGGTAAACGAACAACGAGAACGGTTTTCAAAGCGAACAGACAATCTCGTTTGGTATGCTCGAAGCAAAACCGGGGAGAAAGTGGTAAATTGTGTTGGAAAAGGAAGTCTCGACACGCGGTGAAATGAAAACGACCGATGCTAGGATTAATCATAATATACCTACTTGTTCGAAAGTAGTACTCGAAAAAAAAAATATTACTTACACTCCAACGACTCCGGGTAAATTTCCAAAAAAATCTTTACGAATTTCGCTTTTATATTTCACTAAACACGGCATTGAAGGTCTGAATGGTGTTGATCCCTCGTTTCGATAGATTTTTTCGATTTCATCGCAATCATAAATGAAAAGCAAATCTGGTCGTCCAACTAATCCGGATAACCGTGCTATTTTCCCGTATTGTTTATAAATAATCGAAGATAATTTAGCCACATCGGAAACGTCGTATTGGCCAACAATTGGAAAAAATCGCCAATTATTTCCGAGAAAAGGTAGAGGTTTAGGACCTGGGATGCTAAAATAAGGTTTTAAAGTTCCTTCTTTTTGCCGTATTTCTTGCAAAGAATCATAAGGGCAAGTATTTTCGAAAATAATTGCTTGCGATCGATTTCTTCGAAACAATAAATACAAATTTCCCGAAATTTTTTTACGATTAATTTTTTGAAGGTTCATTCTAAAAAAACTAAAATTAAAAATTAAAATTGAAACAAAAAAAAAACTTACTTTGATTCTCCCAGAAAGAAAAACAAACCACACTGAATTATAACTATCTATTTAAAAAGTGTAGATCAAGCGAAAGCTCAACGCAAATTCTGAGTTCATCAACGTTATCTTTCAAACATGCTACACTGGGGGCTTTTCCGTTTTTCGGTGGGGGGCACGATGTCTTTCTTTTCTAATTTCGTTTCACGTAATCATCGTCGGAGGGATACGAATACAATTAGAAACCATTAAGTGGTGAAGTTTGCGTGTCGATTTACATAAGACTCAACTGACTACAATAGATTCTAAAGAAATTTCTTTGTTTTCTCGCAAATTACATTCATTGTAATTTTATTGAAATATAAACATACTATAAATATGTCCCGAAATATCTCGCATCGAATCTTGTAAGGGTGGGGATTCTTACCGGAAATTTAATCCTTCCCAACAGAGAAGGAAAAGTAGAATCACATGATATAAAGAAATCCAGCCATTCAAATCCCACCAACATAAAGGAGGTCCTATGCTAAAGTACTGCGGAAATGGAACATGGAATGGTCTTTAATTATAAAAAATTTTCAATCTGACTAGTTTCGGCTTTATGTCATCGTCAGAAACTCTACAAGAAATTAACAATATACTGAGAGATACATTACTCGAGGCAATGTCGCAGTTCAATGCATCACCTCATCTGGTAGCAATGATACGTTTAACTCTCAGAAAGGTTTCCTGTAAAGTAAATATAAGCAGATTTATCAAGAACTGGAAGATGGGCTGTCACGTCTGGTTTTTAACATTGCCCTTTAAAAAGTTGCAAGACTTCGAACATCTGAAACAAAATTAAACAAATCAACGAGGTGAAGGAGGTCTTTACAATGTTGAAAACAAAGGTGGGAAAGATAGTCTTAAAGATAAATTTCGCGGTGGAAACATACAAGAACATTTGGAAATTGGGAATGGTAAGATAGAGGTGGTTAGCAGTTTCATATACTTTGGATCCTAGATGAATAATAAAAATTCCAACAACTTCACATCTAAGCTAACAAGAAAAATCAAATTAATCATACACATTATCTTAATGCAAGTAGCACTTACTTTTGCTTCGGAAATATGGACTTTAATCCAGAAAGTCCAAGAGGCACTAAGGAGAATCGAGATGAAAGTGCTCAGAAGAATACATGTCCGAGATAGTTAATTTTATCAAAGTGCAAAGGTTGAGATGGATAGGCTATGTAGAATGGTCAGAATGGACATACAAAGTACCACAGGAATAATTTCGCCTTGTACAGTTCTGTTCAGATATAATGCGAAAAGAGTCGCTCGTAGAGGCATAAAATTGTACTAGAAACGACCTACGTTCACGAGACATTCAATACAGGTTTTACCTGCTCTGTAGTATTGTAAAAGTTCCGAACAGGCAAGCGGGGTGATGTGATTTATGACCAAGATGACTGAATCACAAAGAAAAATTAAGAAAATAAATAAGTATAAGCAATCCATTTACTTTACACAATTCCTGTAGTAAATGAAAATAATTACTAATAATTACCGTATTACTTTGGTAATACAGTGGAACGATAAGTCGAACCACATAAGAAATGAAAATTATATATTGATAGTAAGTTATATATAAACTATATATTGAAATATATCGCAAACCATTTTAATATAATAAAATCAAAAATCAATGTAATAGTAGTATATTAATAAACAAGTTTCGTAAGACACGTTTGAAATGCACGAATTCAAGTTGCAAAACGAGTGGCGAAGCCACGAGTTTTTTAATGAATGAGCATTAAACCGGTTCTGATGTAAGTACAAGTATTCATTCTCAACGTGCAGGTGTCCAAACTCTGAATGAAGTTGAACAAATTCTTCAGTCGGTCGAACGCAGTCTATCTACCAGTACAAGAAGACTTTCTGCTCGTCTAGGTGTTCCTCATGTAAAAGTATGGAGAACATTACATGTTCATGGCTTGTATCCATTCCATGTTCAACCAGTACAACACCTTGAACCAACAGACTTTGCCAGGAGATTCGAATTTTGTGGATTTTGTGGAAAACAGCGTTTGTAAACATTTTCTACTCATAATAAGCTAAGTTTTGTGCGAGAAAAATATTTTTTAAAGTCATGATTGGTGAAGATTTTGAAGGGGTAGTTGTTTTTTTACACAAAAAAGGTGCTGTAGGTCATGAACTCTAAAGTTGACCGTTTTCTAGAAAAATCTACTTTTATTTTGAAAAACATGGTCAATTTTTTGAAATAAACATTTTATTTTACTGTATTGACCCCATTTGGGTCTCCAGGTGGTTAGGGTGTATGTATTTATTTCGGATAAGATTTAAACTCTTTTTAGTTTAAAATTACCAATTTATTTTACTTTATTACATGTCTATTGTGTTCGTTAAAACTATGTGGCTACGAATGCTTTTCGCTTTTAATTGACTACTTAAGACTACTTATGTATTTCATTTGCGCCAACAATTCTATTGCTCAGCGTTATTTTAACCACGCGCCGGTGGCCAAAGTGTAACTTAACACTTCCGATGGCGAGGTGTTACATCCGGAATCTCCGTACAATTTGGTAAAAGAAAAACACTTTTCCAAAACTTTATTTCGAATGATGAATCCCACAAATATGGATTAGAAAAAAAAATTTTACACCAAAACCAAAAATTGCGAACCAACCAAAATTTCTTTAACACTCGAAAACACGTATTGCTCTGGTAATATAGTAAGAAAGAGAGAGCTCCAGAAGAAACTTGAACGCTCTTTTATACCCAAAAATCAAAAATATCAAAAAAATTACGTCTGCGCAAGATAACATCATGAATTTACGACACTCTCTCAAAAGCAAAAAGGAGAATTTTAAAGTGATAGGAGTTAAAAGGAAAAAAAGGAATACTCAGAATATGTTGCTGAAAGAGAATACAATAAAATGTTATAAACAAACAAAATGTAAACAAAGTAAATAAAAATAATAATAAGTTTCCGAATGTATGCAACTCATAACCCATTATCCATTACACATAAACAAGTCACCCACACATAACATAAAAATTTCGGAATGTAACACAGTCTACCGACTCGAAGGCCTTCGTGTAGTCCATGAAACATAGATACACTTTTTTATTGTATTCTCTTGCCCTTTCAGCCTTTCATTGATTATTTGTAATAATATCCTGGTTACAAGTGATATTAAAGCAACCTTTCTACAATTGTTGCAGTAATGATGCAATGATTTGTATCATTCAGTTGGTCATTGTCTTGTGCTCCATATTTTTTCACAATGCTTTCGCTTAGTGTTTAATTGTGTCAATGTAAATTGGTATTTCTGTATAGTATAATATTGTCCTGTAATTGGTACTTTGTTGGGCAATAAAGATATCCTTACATAATAAGATGTCCTTATCCTCTATAGCTTTGAAGATCTTGATAGGTATCCCATCCATTCGGGTGATTTTTGGTATTTTATGTGCGATATAGCTCTTTCTATTTCAGATCTTAGTATTTCTTGCTTATCTTGTGTTTGATCGATTTCCACATGTTCGTTTTATATAGATTTTTGGCCAATTTTGTCCAATTGAAAATTAGTGTATTTAGGATCTCGATGTTTATCGTTTCGACCTTAACCTTAAGTCTTTAGAAAGTCTAAAATTTTCTAGGAATTCTTTTTTGACTCTATTTTTTTTATTATTTATCTTTTAATATAGTGACTCACATACTTCGAAAATGTATTTATGTGCTCCTGCACTATCCATCTAAGGCCATTCACATCATCTATTCTATTCCAATGCTTGAAACATGTCGTTATCTCTGCACTGTTTAAACAACGCCAGATGCCTGTTTTTTGTTACATTGTTAAATCGTTTTCCACTGATGTCGAGAGTTTTCAAGAAGATTCTGGCATTTTACAGAAGTGGCTAATAAGTCCCAAGATTGTCCATAACATATTCTACACTTTGTCTTTATGTATGGTATAAACTTTCACAATGCTCTATGACTAAAAATAAGGCAAGAATGAAAAATACTGAAATCCCTAAAGCGGTACAGTTATGGTACAAATATGCGATAATATTTTAGAATAACTGAATTTCTAAGGCACACTGTTAACTTGAAAACCTTATTACATACTTCTCTAATACAAATTTAACTAAACACCCGGTATTACGAATTAAGAAAATTAAAAAATATGTATTTAGTACCCTCTTTCGTCAAGAATACAAACTTTTACTTCTCAATCCTCATCACTCATTATGTTTGTCATTACAGAAATCTTCTTTATCATTTTTAAGTCCAACTAAACTCACTGTGACATTTAACCTCAAAATTAATTCAATATTTTTATTATAAATAGCCAAATATGTTTCTTAATCAACAAAAACAAATTTTAACACCTTTATTAAGGATTATCTCAAGAAATATTCATGTATCATCATGTTTAAACGAAGTACAATTATTAACGAGGTTAAGAGTTGTTGATAACAGTGAAATAGGTAAAAGGGCTATGGCTGAGGGAAAACCACCGAAAATAATTCATGTTTATAATAAAACCGGAATTGGAATGATTGGTAAAGTTCTAATGAAGTACATAAAACGATTTATTTAATTGAAAATGAGTTTGTTTTCAAGGCGATAAGGTGCTGTTGGCTATCAAAGGTGAGAAGAAAAAAGGAGTATTGGTGGGTTTGAAGCAAAATCAAAAAACAAGAGTTCCTAAATTTGATAGTAATAATGTAGTTCTTATTGATGATAATGGGACGCCACTGGGAACAAGGATTCATGTACCCATTCCAACTGTTCTTAGAACTATTTTGAAAGAAAAAACTCAAGTGAAAGGAGCTGATTATACAAAAATATTATCAATTGCTTCTAGTTATGTTTAGAAAATTGTGTAAATTATCATTATAGGATATTAAAACATTAAAATTGTTAACATGAACATCTATTTTTTGTGAATTTTTTTAAATAAAAATATGTAATTTACATTAGAGTGTATAACTCATCCATAGATATAGTTCCAAATTCAATATATCTTTACTAATAACAAATAATAATAAATCTATATTACATTGATACATAAACTTTGAAAAATTTGTAGTTTGAGTATAGGTGGTATGAGCTGACTCCTACATTGGGTGTTAATCATATCTACATTCACCCCAAAGTTAATTAAGTTGTAAAGATCCCTTAAAGCTAGTAATCTTATAATTAGTTTTAAATATATTTAAAAGCCAGTAAACAACCTGTTTATCAATCATTTGCAATTTTGAGTGCTCAACCGCTATTTTTAAGACAAAAGTGTGTTTCAGAAGAAAGAAGATAGATTGAAGATTAGAAGATTAGTATCAAAAGAATTTGCGTTAATTAAAAAGAGAAACATCCAATATCTTTCGCCATTCCGAGTTGATACAACACATTCTTTCAGTGTTGCCAGATAGTTTGCAGCGACATTCGGTAGATCAGCTCGTAATTTTTCGGTAGATTTCGAGAAAATTCGGTAGATTTAAATTTGTATTCATGCAAAATTTTTTTATAAGTAATATAAATAAAACTCAGTTATAAGTATATATATATATATATATATATATATATGTTTATTAAATAAAACAGAATACAAAAAAACTCTAATTTATTTTTACTGCTTAAGTATTTTTATACAAATTATGGGATGTCATACTTTGTATGATCTTCTTTTCTACAATAAAATCGTGGCAGTTATTCTCACCAATGTAACTTTTGGTGTGTAGTAATGCCGAAATAGTGTCAGCGTCTAGTTTATTTCTTTGGTTTGTTTTCATGAAATTTATTTGGGAAAACACCCTTTCAACGTTTGCGGATGAATGTCAATTTTGGTAACTTCATTCCAGAATAAGAAAACGTCATCCGGAAAGGCTAGGATTTCATTATTATTTCGTAAAAGACGCCATTCGTTATCCAGAGGTTGTAGCATGCTTTCATCAATTAGGTTGGGAAATAAAATAGCTACATCTGATATAGATGGAATTGAACCCGACTTTACCTCCAAAGGGTCTAGAAAATTAAATTTTTTCAGAGGATTATTCTTTAACGGAAATCTTTTTATTATTTGGTCACAGCCCTCAATATAGAATTCTAAACAACGCAACCTAAAAAAGTGCAATTGCTGCTGGCTTAAATTTGTTTGTGATATAATTTTCAACACATTTCCTCCAACGTAAATATCTTCAAGTGGCATATAGTTTCTTGGATTATTATATTCTACATTTTCAAGAGATGTGGATAATAAATACTCACGTTTAATAAAACAATCGAAAATGGCTTTTAGAATGTTACAAATGTTACGATACAATAAATGAAGTTTTGGTCTTTCGGCTTGCATCTCTCGGTTCAAACTATTAAAGAACGGTAATACAAAATCCAGAAATTGAAGAAACAACTTTGTAGTCGGATCATTTAATTTATGTAATATATTTTCAGCTGCTAAAAGATCTTTTTTGCTTACCGCATCGGTGAAAAATAATTGCAAAGCCCCGAATTGTTCTAAAATTCTACGTACCACAAAGTGTACTGACAGCCATCTCCTTTGAGAGGGCTGTAAAATCTTATGCAATTTAACTTCATAGAATTCTTGAAATTCTTTAAAATCACTGATTCTTTTTGAACTAGACGCGAAGTAATTATAAATATCCCGAGTCAGATCTTCAATAAATCTGGGCAATTTTTGACATGCATAAGAAGCACATAAGTGGAACAAATCACATATGCACTTCATTACGTATAAACAGGTAATGTCTTTCTTAAAGAGACTCATGACAGAAAGGTGCTGCCCCATCATAACATTTGCACCATCTGCCGCAAATCCTATTAAATTATCTTTTAAAGATACGTCAATTTTTTTAAAGAAAACAATAATGTTATTATATAAAGTATTGGCATCTGCGGCGGAAAGTGGTATCAAACCCAGAAAATTATCTTTGACGCCCTTACTCGTCAAATATCTTATTACTAAGCACAGATGTTTTGTGGTTGTCCGATCCGTTGACTCATCTACTATCAGTGAAAATTTGTTTTGGCGAAGATGAGCACATAAATCGTCAAAACTTTGTTGCCCTAAAACATTTTTTACGATGGCTGTGGCATGCTGTGTTAATTTCGTATGCGCATGCGTTAACCATAAATTTAGTTCAAACTACCGCCACTTTACGCACACATACGTACAAATACTCACACATACGCATCAAATCAAAACGTCATCATAGGAAGTATAAAATCAAAAAAAATTTGTAAAATTTTGAGTGTAAAACTAACCTAAAAGTGACTTATTTGTGGCGTGTCGGAATTATTGAAAGGAGATTAGTGTTATTAGTATTAAGATTAATTAAAGAACTGAGGGCATTCCGAATTGAGTAAGTAAAATAAATTAATATTATTTACAAAATAATTTATAACAAGTTATTTTTTGCATGTAGAAAAACCAAATAAAGAACAAAAGATTTAAACGAAATAGTGGAGTAAGGACATTGTGAAAACTTCGTGGAAAAAAACTACCTGAAAACGAATTTAAAAAATTTTAGGCGTGTTTAAATATCTAAAATTGTTTAATCGTGTTCGATCTGTTGTTTGAATACTATTAGCAAAATCATTTGCTTCTTCTGTATTATCGTCAAATTCTATAACATCCATTGAAGAACATGAAGACATGAATGAAGATGAAGGTGAAGATACAGGCGAAGATGTAGTCAACCAAAGCGAAATTGTTGCGAATACATACGCATACATTTCTGGCTACATGGCTCGAAAAATATTACAAAGAGTGAAATGTAACACATGCCGTAATGATTTTATATCACAAAGAAGTAGTCATGGAATACTTATAGAGGAGCGTGCCTATACCCCACAGGCGCTGTTGCAGCCAAGCGATAAGCTACAGGTGTTATTTTCAGAAGGCACCAAAATAATACATAACAAGTTACCGAAAATAGCTAACCAGCGTTCTATTAAAAAGAAATTCATTTTTTATTTATCAAAAATGGAAAATCCGAAATTTAATTGTACATATGTGGGTGAAAAACATAAACGCTATCTTGAAAAGTTATGACAAGAGAAATGTTCACGATCCTCTAAACATTAAAGCTTTAAAAAAGTGCAAAAAAACGAAAAATTGCTGAAGTTAAACAATTACAAATTTAATGTTTTTTATTTATGTTATTTTTAATTACCTACTTAATTTTACTTTCTTTTTTGTAATTTTTATTTCATCATTTTGTTTCTTAATTTAGTTTATTTTATTTTTTTGTTTCTATTTTAATATATTTTTTAACTTAAAATTGTTTTTGACTTAACAAAATTTCGTTTTAAAATTGTGTATGTTGAAATTTTGCAGAAACAAATTCTCTATAAACAAAATTAACAATTTTTGCTTATAGTGAATTTGTTTCTGTAAAATTTTATCATGCATGGTTTTAAAACAAACCAAAAACCTAATTCTAAAGATTTTTAAAATTCCCGGGTAAAATGCTACCGCGCTACTAGCGCTAAATGAGGGTAGTCTGAACTAAAAACAGCGTTTCATTTTAAGGTGGGGAACCCACCATCTATATTAGTATATTTATATATTTAATCTATGGGCTGTGGTCTTTGTTCTTCCACATGTCAGCCCTTTGGCAATTTTTGAGTCATCGCAAATTTTCGGAAATAATTTTATTAAATGGTCCATTACAGCGAAGGGAATATTGCGTTCGACTACAAATGCACTTAACCGTATTTCCCCTAAGAAAAAGAAAAGAATTATATTTCTGTTACACAAAGTCATTTTAAACTTACCTTCTTTGATTTTATTTTCTAATTGAATTTGGGAGGGAAGTCCTGCTGTCGCAAATTCTTGTAGTGTTTTCTGCTTAGAAAGCAATTTAATTTTTTGTTGATGAAATTTTCCTAGTGCGTGTTTGTTAAGAGCATCTTTTCCACTGATTATGTTAATGTCTTTGTCACAGGTTTTACATTTAGCATAGTCTGTACCTTTGTTACTTTTTGTTAGCCACCCTTTGAAATCTGGAATTCCTTCCCATATATTTTTGTAATGTTGTGCATATTTTCTTTTTTTTATTGCACCGGTACTAGTACCCTCACCACCACTATCACTATCACTCATTATTTTCAATGTTTGGATTAACAGTTTAATAGAGACACGTCTGACCGCCTAAAGATTGTGGAAGGAATACCAAATAACTACACTGCTCTTTGAAATTAACTATCAAAAAAGTCCCCGTTGGCGGCGCGGCGCGGCGGCACCAATCAAAAAATTCCCCGGCATTATGCTGTACCACAGTGTAGACAACTAGCTTGGAAAGTATAGTACAGGGACCTATACGCAAGATCTTAATTACAGGTTACTACAAAAAGTGTATCAATATTGAAGTTCAAAAAAGGTTTGAATAAGGAACATTATTAAGAGAACTGTGATAACAGATATGTATCTGAAGAGATCTTTATACCTAATTACAATAATCATAAATCTACACCGTAATTTTTCGGTAGATCCATCCTTCAAATCGGTAGATCGGTAGATTTAATTGGAATTCGGTAGATCTACCGAAAATTCGGTAGATCTGGCATCACTGCATCCTTCTCCAATGAACGATGGTCCAGAGTGCGGGAAGTTAGCCCCCATTTTTTGATTTTTAAATTTTTTATTGTTGTTCTAGATTGTTCTAGAATTGTTCTACATTGTTCCAAAGCGGCAAATCGAAAAAATAAAAACTCCGCGAGAAAACCGAAAAAACGGGTTTTTTGACTAGCCCCCCATTTTTGGAAATATCAAATTTTCTTTGTTGTTCTGGGTTGTTCTAATTGTTCTAGTTATTGTTCTAGAAAATGAAAATTATGGGATACAGCATTACGAAGTTATAACTAAAAATAATTACAAAATCACATATTTTTTGTTGCTCTAAATTATTCTTGTTGTTCTAGGTACTTAAAATGTTTATTTAATCACTGCGGCTTTAGTTCTTATAAAGTTTCATATTAAAAATTAGTACTTACAACAATTAAAACAATTCAGAACAGCTGTTATTTTCACTAGAAAAACCTTAAATTTGAGTTGTGATATCGGACAGGTTTTGTTGAATCAGTGAACCCAACCTTTAATATAATAATACTTAGTTTTAAAAAACTAAAAAAATATGGGATAATCTGACAATCCTAATTTTCTAAAAATCATAAGTTTCACCATTCTCTTTAAACTTGTAATAGTAAAACATAAGTTGCGATTTAAAGTGTATTTTATTTTGTATAAAGTAAGTAATAAATTAATAAATAAACTAAACTTTATGAACTTATGAAAGAATTACTAACGGAAACTTCCAAAAACTTTAATTTTCAAAGAGTAAAGTGTTCTTTATAGAGTTGTTCTAGTGAAAATATTAGCTGTTCCAGATTGCTTAGGTATAATAAATACCTATATATTTGTGATATGGAACTGAAAATAGAAAAACTATGGTCACAGCAATCAACTAGACATTTTGGCAGCCCAACCTATTTTTAGTTATAACTTCGTAATGCTGTATCCCATAATTTTGATTTTCTAGAACAATAACTAGAACAACCCAGAACAAGAAAGAAAATCTGACTTTTCCAAAAATGGGTAGTTAGTAAAAAAACGTTTTTTTGGTTTTTCTCGCAGAGTTTTCATTTTTGCTATTTACCGCTTTGGAACAATGTAGAACAACTCTAGAACAATCTAGAACAACAATGAAAAAATTTAAAAATTGGGAGCCAACTTCCCGCACTCCATTACCACCACAATTTACAATTCCAGAACAAAGTCTATATCCTCGCAAGTATCATCAGCTACGAAGGTACTCACTCTTTGAGTGATGTAGGACACTACACAGGGCCTATTTTTGATTCAGTTGGGCCCCAAGGCCCAAGCAAAATTTCGAGCCCCCACGCCCCAATGTCTCATATACGACTTTTCAATAAGAATTTTTTTGCTTACCTTGGGCACCTTAGGTTTATGATAAAAAAATCTAGAAAAATCAATACAAACATTTATTAAACAAAAACATAAAGTACAAAAAGCAAAATCTAAAATTAACAAAACAACAACAAAAAATAAAACTTCGATCCAAAGAACAACGAACAAAATAAATAATACCTACTTAATGAAAAGAAACAACTACCTACCTAATTATTTTTTTTTACGAATTTTCATTTCAGAAAACTTCTGTATGATAGAATTGGTCTCTAATCTATCGAGAATATCGTTTTCTACGTTAAGGATAGCCAACGATGAAACATTTTCTTCGTTTAATGAGTTTCTTAGATAGGATTTTACCCGTTTTAACGTAGAAAATGATCTTTCGCCGGATGCGTTACTAATAGGAATAGTTAAATATATACGCAACAATACCTCAACGTTAGAGAAGGTTGACAAAATATTGTTATCAATTAAAAATTTTAACATTTCCTGAGGGTCTTTAGAGGAAATATCATTTAATCTACAAAGTGCTTTAAATTGTACAATTTCATCCTTTAAATCGTCAGTGGCATCCACATCCATATTGTAATATTTTTTAATATATTCTAAACTTACATTAAATTTTTCATCTGAGGATTCGGCAAAAAATACACCGAAAATCTCATTTACACAATCATACGCTTGCATTCTCATTTTTAATTCAAAAACCAACTTGTCACATATAGGAAAAAAAGTATTTATTTTAAAGTTCTTAGCACCGCTTAAAGTAATGTCTTCTGCAGGGCCTTCATCAAAGCACTGTTTCCTCTTACGAACTCTTGAAATCTCATCCTTGTAAACACTATTATTTGGCTGAATTTTTTTGGCTTCTTCTTCAATTTCATCAAACTGTTCTCTCCTAAAATTCTTGACAAATTCAATCAATCCACTATATAGTGTACAAGCTACAGTTAGATTGGCATGATTAACTTGTAGTGATTTACTGGTAGAGTTTATTCTGTCTAGGAGTCTTTTCCAAATTACTGTCATCAAAGCAAATTCAAATGTATTCATTTTGTAAAGTAAATCTCCAGCTTCTCTTCTGGTAGACTCTTTTTGGTTTACATCTTCATTTAGCTCTACTAAAGCTGTTTTTATTTCACTAAAACCA